CTCACAGCTGCCCACCAGCACCTTTGAGGTGGTTACTGAGAAGACAGAGCAAGGGTTCAGAGCGTGGTGAGTGATGAGAGGATGAGACAACAGACACAAACTAGATTCCAGCTTGATTAAAGGGAAATCAAACAAACAAAAAACAAAAAACAAACAAACAAAAAAAAACAACAAAAACCAAACTACTTTTGCACCCTAAGGTCAATGAGACAGTGAAAACAGAGCCCAGGGAGGTTGCAGTCTCCACCCTCAGAGGTTTTTAAGATCCAACCAGGTCTGATCTTGCTTTGAGAGCAAGGGGTTGAACTACAGACCTCCTAAAGTCCCTGCCAAGCTGAATCACTCTATGATTGTGTGATCTTCAGGCAACAGAAACTATTAAGTTTTCATTTAAAAGTACCCACTGAACAAGGACACACCCTTAAAGAAGTGGATTCCTCTATATCAAAAGAGAAAACAAGTTTTCAAAAACATTTAAAAATAGCACAAAATATTTCCTTTAATAATATTATTTCTTTTTCTTTCCAACTGTAGAAGCAGCTTCTGGCAACCTCCCATAGTAATACTGCCATGAACAATTCAAAAACACACTCCATCAGAGTCTTAAAATAGCTACAAAATTCTCATTATCATGGAGCAGCAGTAGTCCTTCCACATAGGGAAAAATCTTGCAAGTAGTTTTCCACTGCCAAGATGTTTTATTCCCCAGTCTCACCCATATGTACTTCTATACAGAAAAATAAAAAACCTCATGCTTTTTCAGCAGCTGAACAGAAGCACAACTATGCTGCAAATTTAAAACAAATCAGACAACTTTGTTTGTGATATTCTGCAGCTATAAACAGTTGAACATTCTTCCCTGAATATAAAATAGCACAGAGACAAAGCAATTTTACTGGATTTAACTTGAACTAATAAACAAAGCTTTGTTAAAGTTACCAGAACTTAATATAGTAACACTACCAAGAAATGTAGGCTCCAATGATCTTACAACAACAATTAAACTACTTAGGATCTGTATTTTCATTAAAGATTATATTTATACTTGTACTTCCTAGGATTCATGGGAATGGAGGCACAACAACATTTGAAAGGGTAGACACTGAAGGCCAGATTTTAAGTAGTCAATTCAATGATCCTATCTGCTTTTTATGAATAAATGTCAACAGAGAAATATATTCCCACACAGAATATCTAAATAAACTTTAAAATAATTTAAAAAGCTTTTGAGTGTTAAGAAACCTGAAATGAACAGCTAATCTTTCCTTTAGGTTCTTTACTGCCAACAGGTTAGAGGATGCATGCAATGCAGCTCTTTAGCACCGTGACTCTAATATCCATGAATTCAACACCCTGGCATGTTGAATGCCTATCCATGAATGGCAACAGCCTGGTGAAACTAGTTCTCATTTTTTATGATCCAGGAACAAATTAAAGCTCATCTAACATTTTGCTGGCCCTTTTAAAGTTTCATCTTCACACTAGAGTAAGTAATTTGTAACTACTGTGTAATTGAGACATGCTTGTATCAACCTAAAATCTTTATATCTACAGAGAACTAGTTTCTGCCCACACACCACATAATCTGCATCTGCCACAGGATTACTACCTGTGTAACATCTGAGATCAAGTAAATTGTACCAAGTAAATGGTGAGCACCACTTTCCAGGTATTTAATATTTTTCATCCTCCATCACTGGATTAAAACTTGGGGAAAAAAAAAACGCTTTGAAATTTTACTTCTATCAATCATTTGGAGCAACAACAATTCTGATAACTCTTAAAGGAAAAAAATGTTTTAAACTTTGGATAGTCTGTAATATGCATTATTTTAATATGGAAAGATTAAGGAAATTAAACTGCTAAATTATCATACATAAAAATGTTTACAGAATATATTCAGTAAGAGGTAAATAGGATGAAAAGACATAGTGACACATATTATAATTGAAACAGTTATTTTGTGTGTGTGGATATAGATACATAAAAGATTATAAGGGCAATTGTAAAAGTATGAGAAATAATTTGCTTTTGCCAGAATCAGATTAATCAATATGTTGAAAATTAACAACAAAAAGTTCAACTGAACATTTTCTAGAAGCCTGCCCATTTCTGTCACACATCAATAGCCATGACAGAAAAATGCTCCAGGTAATGACTTGTGCAAGAACAAAAAAATGTGGGCATCTTCAAGGTCTCTCCCAAAAGTACATTTACAAAATTTACTCAGCCCCTTCATCTGATCTCACAGTAGTTCAGGAAACAATCATATCCCTAAAAAGAGTTACAATTACACAACAATGAAATAATTAACCCATTGCCCTGACCACTTTCAAGATCTGTAAGGCATCTGCCAGTCTA